ATTTTTCCCCCAAAAATTGAATTGAACATGACACATCAAGTGTTTTCTTCCCCTTTTACAAAAATACCAATTATTTCTTCTTAAAAATTAGGGGTTTAGGGGCTGCTTCCCAGCATTATTAAAAAAAGCTGTGAACTGCTGTCATTAATTGTATGTCTGGCAGGACAAGGTCGACTTAGGCAAAGCAAGGTCAAGTGTTCCTTTTCAGATTTGTTCATACTGGATATAAGTAAAAAGGCTTCTGAGCTCTGAAAATTTGTAACTTGTAGTGTTTTTAATTAAGGGGAATTTTAAAGCTGCTGAAACAGGTTTAACATCTATATTATAACAAATTGCTAAATTTTTAAAATTAAATTGTCAATCTTTCAAATATGGGACAAAAACCATGGAAAAATTGAAAAATGATTGTAGATGGTGTGTACTAGGAATGAATAGTGGGCATTGCTCACCATTTCAGGCATACAAAGTGTGGCTTGATTATGGTGTCTGCAACTCAGGGCGGCATTGGTAAAGATGACGTGGTTGTAAAGTAAGAAAAAAGTATTTAACATTTTTATCTTTATCCCACCTCCCCCCCCACACTTCTGGAAGAAGGGGGGTCTTTGTTTTTTGAAAAATGTTGGTTTGGTCGGTCAGTAAGTGGTCTTCTCCGTCTGTAAGAACCACATGGTTTCTGCTATTATAAATTGAAAACTATAACTATCAAAGTCTTCACTTTTCAACATAAAAATGGTCCTAACTAGTAACTAACCCCTATTGATTTTGGGGGTCACCAAAGGTCAAAAGGTCAAGGTCATTTAAATATCAGAATGTTTTCCCCGCGATTTATATTGAAAACTGTAATATCACAAAGTCTACTGATTGGTCATAACTAGTGATGACCCTATGATTTTTCAAGGTCATTAGGTAAAAGGGTTCAAAGGTCACAGCAGCTTAAATGTAGAAGGTTTTTCCGCTATTACCTTGAAAAACTATTCATCACATATAGTCTTCTTTTTCCGACAATAAAGATTGGGTCTAACTAGAAGATGGACCCCTATTGATTTTAAGGTCATTAGGAAAAGAGGTCGCAAGGGTCACAATTGTCGCTTAAAATGACAGAATGGTTTTCGCTGATTATCTTGAAAACTATTCATAACAAAGTCTTCATATTTCACATACTGATTGGTCCATAAAACCTAAGCAGAAAAATTGAACCCCCCCCTATTGGGGGATTTTGGGGTCAAATGTCAAGGTCGCAATTGCCTTAAATTTGTCAGAATGGTTTCCCGCTGATTATCTTGAAAACTTTTTCATCAACAAATTCTTCATTTTCACATACTGATTGGTCATATGTAAGTAGATGACCCTATTGGGTATTTTTTGGGTCACTAGGTCAAAGGTCAAAGGTCACAGCAGCCTTAAAAGTAAAGTTAAATAGTAGAAAGAGCTAGAAGGGGGGCATATGTGTCGTTCGACATTTCTTGTAATATGATTTTTCTCTATTTTATAGAGTAACCTATCTAATAGTTTTTTGGATGAAGGTCCATGTTCATAGTTTGACCTTGATAATTTTGAGCCTGGAAAAAAGTTTAATAATTTAAGAACCCTCATCATTCAAGTATTTAAGAACAATTGCCCTAAAATAGATCACCAATCATGTTTAAGGAGTCAATGGTCAAGGTCAGTGGGTCTTTAAATGTGATAAAAAAATATATCTGTGAAAAATTATCATTTTATATGCCCTAAAGAATTTCGGGCATATTATGTTTTACCCTGTGTTGTCCGTTCATGCCGTCCGTTAGCAATTTGGTCTCCGGAGCATAACTTAAGTTCCATTTGGTCACAAGATTAATAGTTCATAGGATGATTGTTCATTATTAGGTAGAAGACCCCTATTGATTTTAGGGTCACAAGGTCAAAGGTCAAGGTCAATGTTACCTTAAAACTGAAAACAGTTTCCGGAACATAACTTAAGTGGCCATTTGGCCCACAGTGTTCAAACTTCAATAGGATGATTGTCCATATTAGGTAGAAGACCCCTATTGATTTTGGGGTCACAAGGTCAAGCTCACTATTACTTTAGAACTGAAAATAGTTTCTGGGGCATAACTTAAGTTCCATCTGGCCCACATTTCAAACTTCGTAGGATGATTGTCCATATTGGGTGGAAGAATCCTATTGATTTTGAGGTCACAAGGTCAAAGGTCATGGTCACTATTACTTTAAAACTGAAAACAGTTTCCTGAACATAACTTGAGTTCCATTTGGCCCACAGTGTTCAAACTTAATAGTATTATTGTCCATATTGGGTCAAAGACCCCTATTGATTTTGGGGTCACCAGGTCAAAGGTCAAGGTAACTTTAAATATCAGAATGGTTTCCGCTGATTATCTTGAAAACTGTATATCACAAAGTCATACTGATTGGTCATAACTAGTAGATGACCCTATTGATTTTCAGGTCATTAGGTAAAAGGTCAAGGTCACAGCAGCCTTAAATGTCAGAATGGTTTCCGCTGATTACCTTGAAAACTATTCATCACATAGTCTTCATTTTTCACATATTGATTGGTCATAACTAGAAGATGACCCCTATTGATTTTAAGATCATTAGGTCAAAGGTCAAGGTCACAATTGCCTTAAATGACAGAATGGTTTTCGCTGATTATCTTGAAAACTATTCATCACAAAGTCTTCATATTTCACATACTGATTGGTCATAACTAGCAGATGACCCCTATTGATTTTGGGGTCAAATGTCAAGGTCGCAATTGCCTTAAATGTCAGAATGGTTTCCGCTGATTATCTTGAAAACTTTTCATCACAAATTCTTCATATTTCACATACTGATTGGTCATATGTAGTAGATGACCCTATTGATTTTTTTGGTCACTAGGTCAAAGGTCAAGGTCACAGCAGCCTTAAAAGTATAAGTTAAATAGTAGAAAGAGCTAGAAGGGGGGCATATGTGTCGTTCGACATTTCTTGTAATATGATTTTTCTCTATTTTATAGAGTAACCTATCTAATAGTTTTTGGAATGAAGGTCCATGTTCATAGTTTGACCTTGATAATTTGAGCCTGGAAAAAGTTTAATAATTAAGACCCTCATCATTCAAGTATTTAAGAACAATTGCCCTAAAATAGATCACCAATCATGTTTAAGGAGTCAATGGTCAAGGTCAGTGGGGTCTTTAATGTGATAAAAATATATCTGTGAAAAATTATCATTTTTATATGCCCTAAAGAATTTCGGGCATATTATGTTTTACCCTGTGGTGTCCGTTCGTCCGTCCGTTAGCAATTTGGTCTCCGGAGCATAACTTAAGTTCCATTTGGTCCACAAGATTAATAGTTCATAGGATGATTGTTCATATTAGGTAGAAGACCCCTATTGATTTTAGGGTCACAAGGTCAAAGGTCAAGGTCAATGTTACCTTAAAACTGAAAACAGTTTCCGGAACATAACTTAAGTGCCATTTGGCCCACAGTGTTCAAACTTCATAGGATGATTGTCCATATTAGCTAGAAGACCCCTATTGATTTTGGGGTCACAAGGTCAAGCTCACTATTACTTTAGAACTGAAAATAGTTTCTGGGGCATAACTTAAGTTCCATCTGGCCCACATTGTTCAAACTTCGTAGGATGATTGTCCATATTGGGTGGAAGAATCCTATTGATTTTGAGGTCACAAGGTCAAAGGTCATGGTCACTATTACCTTAAAACTGAAAACAGTTTCCTGAACATAACTTGAGTTCCATTTGGCCCACAGTGTTCAAACTTCATAGTATTATTGTCCATATTGGGTCAAAGACCCCTATTGATTTTGGGTCACAAGGTCAAAGTTTAAGGTCACTATTACCTTAACAGTTCCGGAGTATAACATACCGGTAAGTAAGTTCCATTTAGCCCACAATATTCAAACTTCATAGGAGGATTGTTATTTAAAGGAGGTAATACTTTATTTAATTCCCATTCATCTTTACTAAAAAAAAAATCACTTTCGGGCATATAATGCTCTGCCTAGTGGTGCTCTTGTTATTTCATTTCATTACCTCCTTGAAATGCCAAAGGGTGGCATTACACTGATTGGCAGAAGGTTAAGGCCACCTAGAATGCCAAAGAGACTTTTTCTGGAAAAAAAAAATGGGTAATCGGGGCCTCAGCAAAAACTTCATTTTGTGCTGTTGATATAGGTCAGTTCTTTGAAAACTGAAATGATTTTGGTGTTAGTTTGTTTATGTACTTTTTAATATTTTATGCAAGATTGAAAATAAGTATAAAACATTTTGTATGTAATAAAACAGAAACAGACTAATTTATTTTCACTAGAACTACATGTATTTTTTGTTGTTGTCAATTGTTAGAAAGAGATTGAAATCTCAAATGATGATGAAGAGCTAGAAAATGTAGAGAGATGAAAGGAAGGTTGCTTTTAGATTTAGACAGGCATTAGACTAACATAGCCTTTAATATTTTGCAGCAAACAAGGAAAGGGTTCTTCAGCCATCTCCCTATTTGTGGCTGTCAACAGTGGTCGGCGATGGCAGGCATTTAACATGGTTAGATACAGCGAATAGTGCCAAACATTTTCTGAGGAAGAGAAAGTACATAGGCAAAACATTTTATACGCAGACATACTTTGAGAGGGAACTGTTTATGCATTATTCAGGCCAGAATCTGAAGAAGGCTAGAAGCCTTGGTGTTTGCGTAGGAGAATGTAGACGTCATCTTTTCCAACCATTTTGTGAGACAGAAATGGAGGCTTCAAATAAAGGGGCTAAGAGCGGACATTGAAGGAAAAGTATAAAGTTTGTTGCACGTACATATTGTATTGTTGATATGCCATGACTGTGATAGACATTATTGTTGTTTGAGATTGATTCTGATTGTTTTTGATCGGCTTGGTCTGAGGCTCTGTCTGGAAAAAAAAAAAAACGAAAAAAAAAAAGAAAGATGTAAATAACAGATTTGTTTTGTATTTGTCATTTTTGCTCGACGTTTTTTGAAAAAAAGTAGAGGTATTGTTATAGACATGTTGGTGTTGCCATTGACGTTGCCGTCCGCAAACTTGTATATTGATCATAACTTTTTAAGTTCTTGGTGTATTGTCTTCATACTTGGCAACAATAGTTCTCGGACCAATATCTTTTAGTAGACTAGACTACCCTTGACCTTCATGTATAAATGACCTTGACCTTCAAGGTTAAATGTCTAAATTTTGCTTGTTTTTGGCTGATTTTTGCTATTAGTGGCTATAACTTTTATACTTTTATATGGATTGCCTTCAAACTTAAACATAATAATCTTTTAGGTTTGACCTTTAAGTTGACCTTCACTCATAAATGACCTTGACTTTGAAGGTCAAATCATTGAAATTTTCAATTTTTTGCTGTTACTTAGGCTATAACTTTGTTATTATTGAATGGATTGTCTTCGTATTGTAACAGATCATTCTTTAGGATAAGGCCTTGATGTATATCAAACTCAAATTGACCTTGGCTCTTTTATGACCTTGACCTTGAAGGTTAAATCATTGTATTTTCACTGATTTTGCTATAATTGACTATAACTTTGTAACTAATTGATTATCCTTATACTCTGAATTTTGAACAAGATCTTTTATAAGGTTGAACTGACCTTGACCTTGAGCTTTAAATGACCTTTACTGTCAAGGTCAAATTATTAAATTTTGGTTAAATTGTCATTATTTTGTTATTTATGTAAGGTTTTGATTTAAACTTGGACAAAACAAGACTTTCTACCAAACAAACATAAATGACCTTGACTGTCAAGGTCAAATTAATGAAATTTTCTTCTTTTTTTTGTTATTGGCTATTATACCTATAACTTTGGTATTTATCAATGGATTGCCTTCATATCAAGACACAACATCTTTAAGGTCCAGTCCTACATGTACATTACACTCAAATTGCCCTTGGATCATGAATGACCTTGACCTTAAAGGTCAAATTGTTTTATTTTCACTGATTATTGATATGTGACTGTAACTTTGTAATTAAAATCAGTGGATTTTGTTTCTTACTTGAACAAAACAACCTTTTGGACAAGATATTTCTAAAGGCCGAACTGACCTTCAGATCTTAAGCTCTAAATGACTGTCAATGTCAAAGTATTGAATTTTGGTTATGTTGTCATAATTTTGTTATGTATGGATTTGATTCATATGTTGAGAAAACATATATTTTCTTAACATTGTCATTTATTTATGGAAAGGATTTATACTTCAGGACAAAACAACAAGTGTTACTTAGACTGATCTATTAGAGTTTAAAAAAGGAAAAACTTATTTCTTTCTTTTAATTTAATGATTTGTTTCAACCGTTTATTTGCTTTTAGAAAAAGAAAAAAGTCGAGGGTTGCTCCGACACGGTGGTGGCTCTTGTTGTATCACTGATACCTTAAGAGATCACTTTTAGACTGTCTGTCACAGAACTTGTCTTGAGGATCTTTCTGGACTTTTCTATGCTAACAAGATTATTGTGTCGGATTTCTTTGTCAATTCTACATATAGATATTTAAAACTGAAGGAATCTAATGTTCATTTTACGAAACATTTTTGGTTGGAAAATTCATATTATGAAAACAAGAACATTTTCATTGCTTCAAACTTATGGACGCTCCATTGACTAAAGATACTATTATTGGGTAATTTTTGACTCGTTTGCCCATTTCATAAAAAAAATTTGAGGGGGTTAAAGATGACAGCTTGAGAAAAGTAATACTATTCATAATCACCTATGGTACATCAAAATTAAGAAAACCCCCAAACGGTTTCTGAAAACATGCCAGTACAGCTGAGCTTAAGTTTTCATGGCTATGACCAAGCGGTACTGAACACAATTCGAAGATAGCATAAGTCCTCATTCTTATTGTTTGAAAGAGATATAATTATACAATAATGTATAATAAATTTTGCCAATGTATCGTAGTAAATTGTAATAAATTGCAATTTTGACATATTTACGTAACATTATGAAAAGATGGTAGGGAACACGCTGTTTTTAGCTCACCTGAGCATATGCTCAGGGTGAGCTATTAGGATCACTCTTCGACCGTCGTCTGTCGTCCGTCGTACGTCGTACGTTGTCCGTTCACACTTTTCAAACGACATCTCCTCTGAAACCATAAGGCAGATCATAATGAAACTTCACAGGGATGTTCCTTGTGTGAAGCCTTAACAAAGTTGTTCAAAGAATTCCATTCCATGCAGAACTCTGGTTGCCATGGCAACCAAAAGAAAAAACTTTAAACATCTTCTTCTAAAAAACCCAAAGAGCTAGAGCTTAGATATTTGGCATGAAACATCTTCTAGTGAGTGTCTACCAAGATTGTTCAAATAAAAGCCCTGGGGTCAAAATTGGTCCCGCCCCAGGGGGTCATTGATTTTCCCTATATGCATATAGTAAAAACTTAAAAAATCTTCTTTTAAAGAACCCAAAGAGCTAGAGCTAAGATATTAAGCATGAAAAATCTTCTAATGAGTGTCTACCAAGATTGTTCAAATAAAAGCCCTGGGGTCAAAATTGGCCCCGCCCCAGGGGGTCATTGATTTTCCCTATATGCATATAGTAAAAACTTAAAAAAACTTCTTCTGAAAAACCCAAAAAGCTAGAGCTTAAATATTTGGCATGAAACATGTTCTTATGAGTGTCTACCAAGTTTGTTCAAATAAAAGCCCTGGGGTCAAAATTGGCCCCGCCCCTGGGGGTCATTGATTTTCCCTATATGCATATAGTAAAAACTTTAAAAAATCTTCTTTTAAAGAACCCAAAGAGCTAGAGCTAAGATATTAAGCATGAAACATCTTCTAATGAGTGTCTACCAAGATTGTTCAAATAAAAGCCCTGGGGTCAAAATTGGCCCCGCCCCAGGGGGTCATTAATTTTCCCTATATGCATATAGTAAAAACTTAAAAAATCTTCTTCTAAAAAACCCAAAGAGCTAGAGCTTAGATATTTGGCATAAAACATGTTCTAATGGATGTCTACCAAGTTTGTTCAAATAAAAGCCCTGGGGTCAAAATTGGTCGGGCCCGGGCTGACATTGATTAATTTCCTTATATGTGTATAGCAAAAACTTAAAAGTCTTCTTTGAAAAAACCGGAATAGCTAGAGTTTAGATATTAAGCATGAAACATTTTCTAGTAAGTGTCTACAAAGATTGTTCAAATAAAAGCCCTTGGGTCAAAACTGGGCCTGCCCCAGGTGTGTCATTGTTTTTAACTATATGTGTAAAGAAAAAAACTTGACCAGCTAGACCTTAGATGTTAAGCATGAAATATCTTCTAATGGGTGTCTACCAAGATTATTCAAATAAAAGCCCTGGGGTTTAAACTTGCCCTGCTCCGAGGGGCCTATATACAGGTGAGCGACTTCAGGGCCATCATGGCCCTCTTGTTTGCTGTTGTTTTCCAATACATGTAGTTCGAAAATAATTTGAAAATTGAATCATACTTCTTTGTCAAATGTACAGTTATATAAGGAATTCAGGTAGACAGACGTTTAACTAGACATTTCACTCCCATTTTATACCAAAATTATTTTGATACGTATGATATACTACAATAGACCTTAATTTAACTAAAAAATGAAATTTTGTATGTCATTATTGTTAAAGTTTTATTTTTTACTTGATTAGAGAGATCTTTGATCTGATATCTTTTCAAATATTTATTCTTATTTAGGGAAGGATATCATATATGACCGGATATAATTGTATGAAAGTTGCAGTTCTTTAAAGATGTTAATGATAATAATTTATAAGTGATTATCTTTGCATTAAGTATATTTTTATATCAATAAGTAAAATAAAATCTGTAGATAATCTTGCATAATGTATTAAATATGATTATCTGATTAAATATTATTTTATTTTTGTTATAATTTATAACCAAAACTTATGGAGGAGTTTCTGTTACCATGACTTTGGTTTTAATTGGCTGAACATTGTCTAAAAATATTTCAATTGGTCCGATAAACAACTAATTAATAACTGTTGATGCTAAAGTGCAATGTTTATACAACTAATTTCAAAATAGTGATGTCAAACTGTTAATTGGTGGTCTCAGTGTTTATACAACTAATTAGGTGATGAGATTACTGTTAACACCACAATTACCTAAGTTTGTTTAATGGCTACTGTAAAGAAATAATTTAAAAGAATAATTAATTTTATGCACATTTTCTGCATTTCATTGATAGATATATTCACAAAAAAAAAACTAATAAATATATTTTATATATTGATATTATTTAAAAACTGTACTGGTAGTGGTTTCAATATTCAAACTAGTACTTACAATGTGTCTTTGTTGTTCATGAACATTTTCATTTTGTTATTCTATTATCTTTCTTGATTTATTATAAATAGAATTTTCTCATGTTACTCTTATAATAAAAACGATATTTCAGACATTTGTCTTTCATTTATACCTCTTATCATTCAACCCATATTTAAATGAGTATGAATGATAATCTTCTAATAATTCATCATAATTTTGTCCTCATTAAAACCAACATTTTTACTCCTAATAATTAACAGGAATTCTTCAAAACACTGTTTAAACGGAACAAAATTCACTTTTCTGAGCTGATACTATACTGTATCTATAGTGATCATAATTATTTACACATTCTGTTATATTTCAGAAAAATTATACTTTTATAATCATTCTTCAAATTCATAAATTCTTCTTAACAATACTCTCAAATTCAACAAAATGAATCATTAAATTGAATTTCCCCTTCATAATGAAAATAAATTTTCTTAATAAAAACATCTAAAAAATGGGAGTGAAACGTCCATACAATTAACAAAATGGGAGTGAAACGTCTAGGTGTGAACCGTCTTTGGAGTGAAACGTCTCAATAGTCAATAGTGAAATGTCTTGGGAGTGAAACGTCTGACATTCAGGAATTCAGACCCCCTTCTGCAAGGTCTCTGTGTACTTGCTTGTGAGGCTTACATACATACATACATAGAAAATATGACCCTAAGAGGTAAATGTTTAGATGATGTACACGAAATCGAGTCATTTTTTTGTTCAATCTTGAGATTTTTTGAACGACAACAACAACATTTTCACTGATGTTTCCGAAGCGGTCATTTTTAAGCCGCTCAATTAAATATTCTATGAAATTGGGAAACAAGTTCAAAATTATATGACAGTATGCCTAGTCAATGGAAAGTAATTCTATAGCATTAAAATTGTCTTCTTTTTTTGCGTAAAATAAATATATACTGAACCAAAAAAGAAACTTTCGCAAAGTATGTGCCAGTTGTTCAAGGGTACCACTTAGATGTACACACTTATATACATGTAGTAGCTTGTAAAACTCGTTTTGTTTGCAAAATCGGTTAATCCCCGTATAAAAGCCCAATATGTTTATTCAACGTTAAAATCGAGTTTCAAAAGGATTGAAAAACTGTACTAACATATCTACATTCAAACTTGGAGAAAGTTTCTTTTTTGTTTCAGTATACTACCTACCTGTTGTAATCTCTGCCATCACTGCAGCATATCTGTCCTGTGACAATGGTGGCGGTTATACGGTATGTTACAACACACTTTAAGTGCGTTAATAAATTATAGAAGATATTTTAAGTTTTTTTTTTTTATAAATACAGTATTTAGGCGTCGGTGTCAGCGTCCCTCTGGTGTAAGCTGGAGCTCCATAACTACTGAAGGGAATGGATTGAAACTTCACACACTTGTTCTCTGTGATTATCTAACATGATTGGCACAAGTCCCAAAACTCTGATTTGCTTTTTTTGCATAATTATGCCCCTTTTTCGACTTAGAAATTCTTGGTTAAGTTTTTGCGTGTAAGCAAGTATCTCCTAACTACTGAAGGGAATGGATTGAAACTTCACACACTTTCTAACATGATTGGCACAAGTCCCATAAGTAACAAGTCCCATAACTCTGATGCTTTTTTCCATAATTATGCCCTTTTTTCGACTTATAAATTCTTGGAAAAGTTTTTGCGTGTAAGCTGGTATCTCCATAACTACTGAAGAGTTTGTGCCTTTTATGGAACAATATTATGCATTCATAATAATAAAGCAGTGATTAACTCGGTAAAACACCTTAATAACAAGCCTTTGTACCTTTTCGGACAATTTTATGTATTCATAAAGGTAAACATTATTTTACTCAATGAAACAAACTTTTGACTACTTTTCGAATAGACTCGAGCGTTATTGTCCTCCGGCAGTTCTTGTTTGACATTACTTTTTAAGTTTTTGTTTTACTGGCTGAATTAAGAAGAAAGTTAAGTCCAGCAAGACACCAGTGGAAATACGGAAAATATGTTTCACCACAGTGAAAAATAAATTTGAACTGATAATACGGAAAATGAATATACTATATTTCATCAATATTTCTCAACATTTCATTTTTAGCTCGACTATTCACAGAATAATTCACGTCCCTGTGGTTAAGTTTTTGTGTGTAAGCTGGTATCTCCATAACTACTGAAGGGAATGGATTGAAATTTCACACACTTGTTCTCTGTGATTATCTAACATGATTGGCACAAGTCCCATAACTCTTATTTGCTTTTTTGCATAATTATGCCCCTTCTTCGATTTAGAAATTCTTGGTTAAGTTTTTACGTGTAAGCTGGCACAAGTCCCATAACTCTGATTTTTTTTCATAATTATGCCCCTTTTGGGCTTAGAAATTCTAGGAAAATTTTTTGCATGTAAGCTGGTATCTCAACAACCTCTGAGGGGTTTGTGCCTTTTTTGGAACAATTTCATGCATTCATATTAATAAAGCAGTGATTAACTCGATAAAACATCTTAATAATAAGCCTTTGTACCTTTTCGGACAATTTTATGTATTCATATAGGTAATAATTATTCATATAGGTAAGCTTTATTATACTCAATGAAACACCCTTGTGACAATTTTTCGAATAGTCGAGCTTTACTGTCCTCCGCTTTACTGTCCTCCGACAGTTCTGTGTTTAAGTCATAGGGACTGGACGTGGAGGATGTCAACACACTACCGTGCCTTGTTTCCTTTTTAAGTTCTTAGTTTCATACAGGGATTTATTACATGCTTTCCGGTGGTTTATAGAAATATATCAGTGATATAAAACTGGTAATTTCACTGTTTGAAACAGTGAAATTACCACTTTGATAATTTCACTGTTTTGAATTTAAGCCCCTTACGTTGTTTAGTGAAATACCAGCGTGCACAGTACTGGGAACCAACTTGATGATGCGACGTCGTAAATGACGTCACGTTGTATTATTATTTGGCGCGCTTTTCATTCAGTATTAGGTTTAATGTCTTTTTAAAACGTTTCTTTGCATATAATAAAAAGAAAATTTGTTTAGTTTAGTGTAATATCGAAATATATTTCACCTTGTGAACACCAAAAGTTCATATTTCACTCGTGGCTGCGCCACTCGTGAAATATACCTTTTGGTGCTCACTCGGTGAAATATATTCCGATCTTACACTGAACTAAACAAATATCCTCTATGTAATAATATACCACGTGTGAATAAAAATAATAACTTGTCAGTTCATTAACAAATATTTATTTGCACCGGCTTAACAAAATTTGAACATAAAAAAAACAAGTGTTATAATCTTAATCAATTAAACATTATAGTAAAATGAAACATTATGTACATATTAAACATACATTTATAAATAAACAAAACTTATGGAATAAATAAGAATAATTCAATGTAGGAATGTATTTGTAAACAACAAAATCAACAACCATATAATATTATACTGAAAATGGTTCCGTGATTTTAGTCAAATTCTTATGTCAAAAGAAATATCTAAATCGTTTGGAATGTTAATCGTTTGACATACATGTACATACATATATGTAAAGATACATTAATGTACATGTATATGAGAAGAGCGGGAGATTAATCATGTAATTAATGATGTTATTAAATGTACATGTATATAATAAAACACATAAACAGTAATGGAATTTTAATTTATAGTTTACATGTAAACTTCGCGGAACTTTAAAAATATGTTCGAGTTTACATGGAACTTCAGTTATTACGTCGTAAGTTTGTATACTTGTAACTCCAGGGAACTTCAGAAAAATAATTTGGGACTTAATTGTATCTTGCGGAACTGCAGTAAATTTATACATTTTGAGTTTATTTGTTGCTTAAATAAAGTGTGAGTTTGTTTGTAACTTCAGGGAACTTCAATTAATATACTGAAAATGTTCCTGTAATTTGACGGAACTTGTATAGTTTTAATGTAAATTCACGTGTTTCTTAACTTTGCGGAACTGTTGAATTATTACATACGTCGTGAGTGTACTTGTAACTTTGCAGAACTTCAGTTTCAATTTTGACTCCACCCCCCACTGTCACATTTATAATTCATATTTGCTTTTAAGAAATACGAAGTATGTTTAGCTGATATAGCACCATATTTCATGGGTAAAATTAAATAAAAGTGTGTTTTCGCTTAAAACTTTTTTGAAACTTCAGTTAATACGATGTGAGTTTTCCTGCAATTCTGTACGTTGATCTTAAGTAAACTAAACACAGTTTGAGCTTAAAAAATTTGGAAGTGCGCGAAACTTCAGATGAATTACGTATGCGGAACTATGTGGAACTGCAATAAATATGTTGTGCATTTACTTCATACTTGCAACGTCGCAATCCATATTTACACAGCCGATGGTTGTACATGTGAAATTCATAATTATGCAGACATATGACGTCAGAAGTAAATGGATGTTCGATGTATTGTATATGTTTCATTTAAATGTTGAACTTCGGAATCCACTTTAAGTCGATCATCAGTTGACGTTTATCTGAAAATACATTATTATATAAATATATAAATAAACTTCAACAAAAATCTTTACATTTGATCAATTAGGGAGATAATTTTTTCATATACCAAATCTAAGACAATTTTTTGTTATTATTTTATCCAGATAAATTAATTTATCCAGATAAATTAATTTTACTTTTTCATGTTTAGTGTTAAAAAAGTAAACGTTACTTTCCGACGTGACGTGATGTGAATATGTGTTTGTCTGAAACTCTTTTTGTATTGAGTTTCCTCGCATAAAATCACGTGGTATATATAGGTACCGAGATGAAAACTAGAAGTATAATCCTTACAAAAGCTAAAAAGAACACAGGAAAATTACATTCAACTTCGCAAGATTTGACTAATTTTACCTGGATCTATTTCTAAATCTCGTCTGGTAGGACGTATTGGACCTTTCCGTAATGGAATGGGGTTTAATGTAACTGGACCACCCGTTACAACTTCATCTGAAAAAGAGAATATAGGATAGGTAGGAACGTTATTTTGCCATACACATATAACATATTTTTTATTACGTTTGGTAACCGGCAAAGTAATTTGTGTCTGAGGACAGTTAAAACCTACCTATAGTTAAGTATACGTCCTTTTTTTCTTTTAAAACCACTCTAAACATCAAGTTGATAACAAGCTTCGTATAAGACGTTTAACTTTGTTAAATAAAAAGCTTAACACTATGATTTACCAAGGTGACAACACTAAGCTTAACCAAAGGTGCCACACTACATGTATGTTTTACCGGCCAATGTTTTAGCAGCATTTATCAGTAACCATTTTAATAGCACATAATTATAATTGAATTCATATAAAACATACAATATCAGGTTTTTTTTCGATGATAGAACAGAACAGAACAGATTTTATTACACATAAACTGTACAGTTTCTAGTGTTTAACAATGAATAATACATATTATATAATATTGAACGATACATATAGGATGAAAAGTGAATGAAATTATTATATATAACACAATAATGGATGAACTTATATTTTCTTAAGAAACAACATGCATACATTATATAATGAAAATCAAAAAAGCAACATGTAATTGCATATTTAAGAACAAAGAAAAAACACATGTACTTGCATTATGTGATAATGTGTGAATTCAACAGATACTTAAAATGGAAAGTATGAACTATAATATAATACATAAACAGTTCAAAAAGGGAATCATTAAAATGTGCATATAATATTATTGTAAATGAATTACCATACTTCAAGAAGTTAAATTGGCACATTTGAAAGAATTTGATTTCTAATTTTAAAAGCCTCGAAAATATATTTGCTAAACGTAAGTAATTCTGAAAAATTTTGACTATTTAAAAGGTTTACAAATTTAAACATACTTGGTTTTTGTCTGTAAAATTTCTTTATATATTTTTGACGAATTACATTGTATTGTGGACAAACAAAAACAAAATGGTATTCATCTTCGATTATGTTTAAGTTACAGATTTGACAATAACGTTGATCTCTATCTATTTGATTATTTGCAAACCTTCCAGTTTGGATACGGAGACTATGGGCTGAAATACGTATTTTTGTAAAAGCTGTCCTAAGGTTTCTTGAAGTAATCTTATCTAAATATGGTTCAAAAGCAAAGGAATCTTTAATATTTTTATAAACTAATAGAGAACTACTTCTCTCCATAACTCCTTTACAATCCTGCACAAATTCATCAATCAAGTCTCTGCTTAAATGTTGAAATGAAATTAGCAATATTGATATTACGAAAATTGTACCATGTCTCTAAAAATCCATATCTGGCTAACATACATTTAACATTATAAAACCAATTTGGCTTATTCATTTCAGCATCAGCAATGGAACTGTCAACGATAGTTTTTATTATCAAATTTTCGCTGTTACATATTTTATAGCAATATTTAACAATACGTATATATCTATTAATATGATAACAAATTTAGCTGACAAATTTTCATTCCAATCTCCGTTTTGTTAATATTTGTTTAAATGTAATTACAATGTACCATGTTTTTGGCTTACTTAAATACATGTATATTATACTAGTTAGAAAATTAAAAAAACCTCTGTGCAGACGAAATGTTGACTCGGGAACATGTTGAATACGACGGAACGGATACCCATGCCCTAGACTTCTTGCCGATTCTGAAATATATGTATAATTCGTGCAGGGTTTAATACTCCTTGACCTGGATTTAGACATACCTTTCAATGAAGTAATCGATTTTAGGAAAAGTTATATAATGACAACTTAATGCTACCGAACGATTTTATGCAATTTTACTCATTGTACATTTGGTTAATGTAACATTTTCTTTTATTTCATCACTTACAGCATCTGTTACTCCGGAATGCTTTAAACCTGTTTCTAGCAATTATTTTTCAAAGAAAACACTTTAAAACATGATTTATTTTAATATTAAATACTTAAATTGTCGTTTAAACATATATAAGCATCAATTGATATTAATGGCAAACAGCATTCAGTCGTTAATCTGTGCTGTGCAGAAGTGTTCAAATTCACGCAAATGGAAAAAAGGCAAAAAATGAAAAGCTATTTAAAGTCACAAGTATTAGTAAAGTGATATACGACTAGAGACATATCTTATTAATGATAAATAGTATTTCACTGTTCTCATATTTCATAGTTTAGACCTAAAAACGGTTAAAAATGTACACACAACAAACTTATTCTTTGATATATAATAACATTGGGTCGATACACTAAATTTTTAAGAAATGCATGCTGTTTTGGGTTCTATTTAGTGCAAGATCTACTAAGAAAAAGAAAAACAAATAGCCTAATTGCTGAGTGCCATTTAATCAAAACTGTTATCCAAATCAGAAACTTATACCTTTTGTGTATGAGAGCGAGATTTTATTCCTGTATTGCAAAAAATCGGCGGCCATATTGGACGCCATCTTGGTTTCTGAAGCATTGTGAAAGCAAAAGATTTTGGATGCTTGTAAAGGAGAGACTATATACTTGCTCTGGTGTAAGTTTCAGATGTTAACAAACAAATTTATTTTAGTTAATGACCTTAATTTTTTTAGCCTAATGCGAGTTTTTTTTTTATATTAGGTATATATAGACGGGTTTGCAAAATTTAATGTTAACCTGTAACTATTAATTGTTAGTCTATTCAAGACACACAAAGCAATCACGTTATGTCACACGCCTTGATACCTTTAGGCCGTTTTATAGATTCTGTGTTAGGTATTTGTATGGGTGGAACAACGGATGGGATGGGCGGAATGGGAGTTCTTGTAACCGGAAGCGGATTAAGGGCAGCCGGTCCACTCGTTATATCTGCACCTTCTGTGAGAATCACAAAGTATTAAAACACATTGCCAATAAATAGACAATCCTATACCACACTTAATTTCCCCATTTTTTAGAAAGTTAGAAACATTTTCACATACAATATTTTTCTTTGAATATATATAACCATCAAACTTAATCCTTTAAAGACACACACCCACATGTATTATAATATTTATTAGATTTATAAAATCGCTGTAAAATATACCTTAAATATTGCAGTAATTAAAGTATGCGTTTACTAATTTAAAACAATAACATGTTATCTTGTTCGCATGTTATCTTGTTCACATTTTATTAGTTTAATCCGTTTGTAATCATTTTATAGAGTCCAGGTTTTCCTTTATGACACAAATTTTAATGAATACTAACCTTTAACATGATGTTGTACGGTAAGGTCACTAATGGCAAAGTTATATATGTGAATACTTTTTAAACATATTTTTACCATAATGATTTTAATATTTCTATTAAAATTTGAGTAAATAATTCAGTATTGAAATTAAAAATGAAAGTTGAATACATTGTATTATGTTATTGCTTACCTGGTCCTGAGTAACCGTCCCCAACTTGTTTTGTATATTGATCTTGGGCGTCTGTCAACCACTTCCGTATCCGTCGGCGTTCGGCTTTAGTTTGGAAGAAAACATAATATTTATAAAAACGTTTCAAGTTTGATAAATATGAATTAGTTCTCGTTAATATTTATCATATAAAAAATTAAAAATAATGCAACTACAATTTATTGCGTTCCATACTTTTTTGATTTTGTTAACTATACATTTTTATAACAAAGGGACAGATTTTGCCGATCATGCAAAAGAAAGAAATGAAAGGAGATTGGAGAAGAATGATTCGAAAACAGGTATGGCCATTGTGACGGATTGTGTTATAGTCAAATTTTCAGAACTTAGTATAAGTTAGACAGATATACTCAGATTTTTTTCAACATCTGAACAGAAAAGAACAAAGATTTATCAATATCTTGATTGCAAGGCAGGGAAATGTGTTAAGGTTTTATTCAGTCTTACCTGCCTCTTTTTGTTGAAAAATATCTGAAAAATAGTAACAAAGCATGAAAATGGACATGTGCAAATGAAATTAAGGAAAGCAAAGAAAAAGCAAAGACACTTGCGTTTTACACATGGCGTCTATTACAATGCAGCAAAGGGTGATAGTGAACTAAGTAAGCACTTACACACACTATTATTAAAAATTAACTTGCTGAATGTGTTATATGGATTTGCTTTGAATTTAGAATAGCCAATTCAAAGTGTAATGGTGTTCACAATGCCAGTGGCACATGTGTGGCGACTGGCCGAGTTGTTGTACGCGTCGGACTAGTAATCTAGGGGTTGCTGACTGTGTGGTTTCAAGCCCTGTTAGAGTCAAGCCGTTGTTTCCTTAAGCAAGAAACTTTACATTCATTGCTTAGTACTGGTTGGTTCGATAGTGTTTCAATAAGCTTATAGCTTCCAACACAATCAAACTAAAATAAATTTGTGAAAACATATCCCAATCGTGACAAAAAGTATAGAGCGTGGTCAGACAACAGCTTGTGCAGACTGGCTTGGCAAAAGTCAGTTTAACATTGGGTCCAGCAAGGTAAGGATTAAATAAAATATGATAATAACTTTTTGTAACCTTATTTACTTACTTTATTTACTCTGTACATGTATCACGTTAAGTTTTGCACTCGCTAAATGTTCCGGCACTTCAAGTCAGAAATGACGCCGTTTTAACGTCAAAAACAAAATCACGGCATCGGCTCGGCAATGCTGTGGCAGACTAAAGATTAAAATTGACTTATGTATCGTACTATCCCATAGAAGTACCCCTGCAAGATTTTTAATGCATACTTATGAAGTATTCATAAATGATACTTACTGACAAAGTCGTCCTTCTTAGTTCGATCTATAAACATTTCTTGACAAGATTCATCGCAAAATTCCTCCTCCTCCACGTCCATAAGAAGTTTAGCACAATTCCGACATCTTTTCCGTCGGCGTTTATGCCGGCCACCGGCTCCTGAATAATGTAGAAAGAAGTGAACGAAACTTCTCCTTGGTGTACTGCAAATAATTCCAACAACCGACGAAGTATTTAGTGGGTTTAGTACACCAAGATAAATTTCAAAAATGAAGATATCGAAGACTTTGTGTATATATTTACAACTATATAAATAGTATATACACGTATGTTCATATTGCGCAGTGATATATATCTGTGAACGAGCATAAAAGTAAATTCATCGGAGTTGGAGCTTTTTGCGCCAGTTAATGGTGGCTCTGTCCTTAAATGAAAAATATTAAGGACTTGGACTTTTATTTTTAATCCTCGTGTAAAGGTCCTGCACCGTCGGGACAGTCCAAGGGTAAAATCCCTACAAATTTCCACATCACTGAGAGTTGGACATCTTTGTTGCCAAAATAAAACAACCTTGTTGAACCGATGTGTCATTTTCAAGGCCCGCATTGACACAATAGCGCAACAAGTTTTACCATCGAATGATATTTAAACAATTCAAAATTTATCATGTACAACAGATTTGCAAAAAAATACAAAATACTATATTTACAATATTTTAAGGCAGTCTTAAAACCGTATTAGCTTTTGTGTGATTTTTTTTTGCTAGTTAAATCTATGCAACTTACATTTGGCTTCGTCGGTATTTCTGCATGTATGCTGATATTCTTGAAATTCCAGATGGTTTTAGGCCCTTGTAAGACGAGGCAGAATCCTTTGTCATTTTAGAATTTTATTTTCCCAATTCCTACTTTTTTAAGTGTGAAGCTTTACATTAGATGCGTAAATTTTGTAACAGTCTTACAAGATTTGTTTTAATCATATCAAGATTTAAAAGGAATTAACCCATATTAAAATAATCTTGTTCTTAAAATGTTTATTTTTTCTATTTATAGACTAAATGGTCTATTTATAGAATAAGTCATGTGAATTCATTATATGACTCTACATATGATAATATAAGTTGAATTTTTACCAGTATTTTGACTTATTGCAGGAAAAGTAGTTCCTATTGCACCATCTGAAAAAAGTACAATATTTATCTGTTATTATGACTTACTTTGACATCAATTTGCACCCTTAACCTCCTAAAATTCGGAACACTCCATTTATAAATTATGGGATTTTGATATCAAAATAAAGCTTCCAGCAGTACAGATCATATGGTTAGAATATGCAGGTGTGCAGGCTGGTCTGGCATATACACGATGCAAAGGCTAATTACGTATAGGTTAGTGTTTAATAATATGTATTAACGAAAATAATTGGTCAAGCCTGCCGCAGGCAGGCGACCAATTATTTTTGTTAATGCATATTATTAAACATTAACCAATTTAATGATCAACATTATTTTTTCCACCAAAAACAAGACATTTCTCTAAATCACGATAGCTCCGCCCTTTCGCTCTACAAGATGTCTACACCTTGTCAAGTTTCTAACATGTCACATTTAGATAAGTTAAATAAAAAACAAAAAATAATGTTGATCATTAATTACGGTTCTGGCAAGTAAAAGATTAAGTTACTGATAGAACAAACAAGGCGATTTTTTTCCACACCTTGAACGTTTTCCAACATTAACAACAACAAAACCGCAATAACCGATATATTTTTTGATTATCACGGAAGTTTCGTCACACAATTAGCCTCAATTTCATCAATGATGTTAATATATTCAAAGCCTTAATGATCAACATTATTTTTTGTCCAATCACATTGCAGTATTTTTCAAATTTCTGACAAGTCTAACTTTGGTTAATGTGTACTAACTAAATAAAATTCACTTAATCTGTCGCCTAACCGCAGTCTAACAAATTTCAATAATGCATTATATTAGGGAGGAGTTAGAGGTATGGTTTACACTCTGAATTGTAAAATAAAAAGGTTAGAACGTAAAAAAAATATTAGGCTTTCTAAATGTGAGGATACAATAAATTGATTTATTACATAGATAATACATGTTGGGCACGCAGAGACAAATGATTACATAGTGACCTTTTTATATCCTTTTAACTCTAAGAAAAATGTCTGCTATAAATTGCTGAGTGTTTTAAACTTTATATTTTCCCAAACATTTTTTTTTCACTTGATAGGAATGAACTGCATTAACAATCATTGATATTAAGAATACAATGATTACATTTTTTGGCTGGAAAACTCATTGTAAATGGACCCCCTCCACCTGTAAACCTAAATTGATACACAGAAAAATAAAAAAAAAATGAACTGTTTTTCAAATGAGCAAATCAATAGGGATTTTAAATGTTAGTGAATAACTTGAAGCTAATAACGAATTTGTATCAATTAATAATCTTTAATGTATTTTTCTCAAATTTTCCATTTATTTTAAAAGGATATACACATTTCATTAACTCCATTGTTTTTACCTTATTGCATCGTTTTCCTCTTCAGATATTTTATAGAAACATGATAGTCTTACTGTAGATAAAGGTATAAATTCTGTGACATTTCAATAAAAATGTGCCCATTATATGTTGAAAGGGCCATTTATTTAGCTTATCTAAATGTGACATGTTAGAAACTTGACAAGGTGTAGACATCTTGTAGAGCGAAAGGGCGGAGCTATCAGTGATTTAGAGAAATGCCTTGTTTTCGGTTGAAAAAATAATGTTGATCATTAAATAGGTTAATGTTTAATAATACGCATTAACAAAAATAATTGGTCGCCTGCCTGCGGCAGGCTTGACCAATTATTTTTGTTAATACGTATTATTAAACACTAACCTATACATATTAAAAGAAATAAGTAATTGATAAGCCAGTATTGAAAAAGACTATTTTGTTGGTGTTGTTTTTGAATATCAAACAAGAAAGAAAAAAAAAGAACAACAACAACAATTACCTTCTGCGTGTTCGTTTGCCGATATAGGCAATCCTTGTATACTCAGTTTCACGTTACCATAGTAATCCACAGATATGTTAAGATTCTGAAATAAAATTATTAGATTTGAGAAATTATTAACATCTTGAATAAATTATTCTTTTTTAAAATATCTGTTTCTACCACACCCTAGCATTGTATTAGGCAACTTGAGGATCAATTTGTATTGTTTTTTTATTCTTGAGGTCAGCTGATAGGTTCCGCGTTGTAATATACTTGCAATAAAATACATCTTATATTTAAATACACTTGCCAAAAAGGTTTGACTTACTTCCGAAAAGTGCAGGTATCATAATCTTCCTTCCAGAATACGTATATTGTTCGCAACCTTTTTATAACTAAGCACAAACATATCCAGGTAATTGAATATTAAATTAGACCCTTAACTTTTATTCTTCTGAAACTGAAAGTGATTATAAGTCTTTGCAACAGGTATACAGTCAGTGCAGTAAGTCTGACCTTGGTTGCGTTTCATACAAAGTCCTAAGTCTGAAATCAGTCTTAATACCTAAACTGAGACAATTTTGCGTTTTAAAGAAAATTTCCTTACTTATGATTCCTACCTTATGGCTATTAAGTTCTGAACAGCAGTGCTGATAGGCATTTTAAAAACATAGCGAATGAAACCGGTCTGTCGTTGTAATTCTTAACTTTTCTCAGGGAAAATGCATTTATTTATAGTCTACATTGTTTGACTGAAGATAAAAATGTGTTTTTAAACGGTATTAAGTTAGTCCTAAAGTTTGTTTTCTGTATACACTTTGGACTTTCTATGAATCTTAGTCCAGGTTCCACAGGTTCCATAATGTTGTCTGAACAATTTCGAATGTTTCATCTCGATATCCCTTAAAATGATAATAGATGGTTCCAAAAAATGGCAGTCGGACCAGTCCATTTAATAAAAGGGTAATTACCTGTTTCTGATCTCGTCTCTTCTGACAAATTTTGAACTGTGAGGCGCAATCGGCTGAACAGAACTGCCGACGCTGACCAACATATGTTAAACACCACTTGCACAGATAATCTGAAAATGTAAGTGTCGTCGTCAACGGCGGTAAATGATCCTTGTCGCCTGCCGACGATCTGTCGGTATCCATTCCCTTAAACTCAATGTTCACTTGCCTCATTTTGTTCTTTTTACTACGTTTCAGCCTGAGAATATGACTAGCAACGGGGTTTATCGCTGATATAGAGCCCTTTAAACGAACTGTTGGATTCCTCGGCGTGTTTGTCTCTGAGCCGATTTCAAGCCCCTCTGGCTCGTCTATACGGATTATATACCGTCCGACCGGTCCCTTAATGGCAGCACGAGGCTTTTGAAAATGACGAATAACTTTTGTATGTGGCATTTATTTGAAATAAATTATTCTAAGTTATTAAATAATATATGAATATACTATTCATATCTTTAAGACATCTCCGTATAAATTGCTTTGATTACACCATTATTTAAAAAAAAATATACATCGCAATTAATCCACCACCAAATTAAGAAAGAATAAAATTCCTGTCCGGATATTTCCATTTTTTTTAAACAAAAAAGAAGTTCTGTTATAGAAATCCACAAATCACTACCCGCAGTTGTTTAAATCTTGTTTTCATTTTATTCCTATCCATTTAAAGTATTTCCTACACATATTATATCAGTAACGAACCATTTTATGGTAGCTGTATGAATTTGATAGCGCAAAACACCGCAATAAACTAGATTGTGTGTTATTCATTAAGTGTTGGATATTTGATAATTTGAACACATAGAACTAGATAAATATCAGTGATAATATTGAAGAGCTGACTGTTTAAACAATACGACAGATTTGACATCGGCCGCCTGATTAAATAGTCTTTCCATTCAATATTTTTCATACCAAAATATTTTGCCACGTATATTACAAAGCAAATAATTTATGTTTAAATATTATGCATTTATAAATTCCCAATTAAGTCGAGAATGTCAACTAATAATAGTGTCTGAGAGTGGTTAATTGTAATTTACCTCGATACATAATTGCATTTATCAAATATATATAATTATAACAAAATAAACATACGTTATTATTTTGATTTATATTTATCTAAATCTCATTATTTCAAAATCTTTTCCTCAAGAGTTTCTATTATTTATTGATATGTAATTATATATATCTAAAGGGATTCGAATAAAGCGCTTTATTTCCATGAATATATAGTGTGATTTAACCACTTTTAAGGACTTAAAGCAGCAGGCCACCAGATTCATGCTGGTTTTTAGTATAAAATTGTAAAGTAACAAAAACGAAGCAGTTTGCACATTATCAATGGCTCTTAAATTCCATGATGGTTCTTACCAAAAAGTGGACAAAATATGCAAAAAAAGTCTAAGTGCGTTAGAAAAGCAGTAGAAATATAGATATAATTACTGAAAAATTAGCTATCAATCGCACATGACATGCTTATTATTACTTGAAGTTTTCCTAAAGTCTTATACATTTTGCTCATGCTTGATTTCATTGAAATATTTTGGCTCATCTGGAGGCATGCAACTTTAAAACGAGTTTCATTTGACCAAAAGTAGATATCTTAAGTGGTGGATCTTTTAGATGTTGAAACTGATAAAGAGTGACTCTAAGAATGACAGTTAGTTCCACGTATAAACTCAAAAGTCAGAGACATTCTTGTAAGAAGTTGTTTTGAATACACTATTTGAGTTATCTTCTTTTTGAGAGTTATCTTATTTTTTAAGGACACGACCGATAACTCAAATTCATTGGTCGTATTGCTAAATAAATATTTGCCATATAAATAGAATCTGAGATACAGTTTCTTAAATTTACAACACCGATGATAATATGTAAATCGAACCGTACATCTCTTAAAATGAATTCATTAATTGGCCATGTTATTACAGTGGGTGGGGGTTGATGTGATCAGTAATCGATATAACGATTTTTACAGCTAATTTCATTTAAAACAAAGAAGAGATGATACTTGAAAATCAATTAATCTTATCTAACATTGTTTACAAAATCCAGATATAGTTGTCTATTAGTGTATACATATCTTTGGAAACCACGTTCATATCTTAGTTGAAAAGTTCAATAGTGCTCGTCGATAATAATAATAATAAAAAGAACGAGAAATAAATGTTTGTTTTCAGATCCTTTGGATTTCTTTCATGATCGTTAAAGTTTGGCAATTGAACCATAAGTGTTAGATTGAGACACGACGCTAAGTTACTTTAATATTGACAAGACTGTGTCTTAAGTATATATACATGGCCCTATATCCACGGACTTATCTAAAACCGAACTTATGGACACAACTTTATAAACTGGGGCAAGACTCATCCTATCCAAAACGGACCCATGGACACATCTAAAGCAGAACCAAAGACTGTGTGAAGCGGAATATGAACTCATCGAATCTAGACTGAAAACATGGACTCGTGGCATCTACAGTTGAACCATTGACACATTCTTTTCTTAAGTGGAATAATAAACTCATGATATCTAAAGTCGGACAATGGACACATGATATCTGAAGCTGAACCATGACCGTATAATCAGTAAAAAAGAACCATGAACACTTATTTTTTCCTGAAGTGGAACCATAACCACATATTATCAAAAGTCCGACAATGTACTCATCATATCATGTATGACACATCCTACTTAACTTATACAGCGTGTCCATTGACATCTTTTATTTAAAGATGGCTTACGAATTTATCTAAATTAGACTTACGGACCTACATAGAAAGGGCTCATGGACTCAATGAATTTCTTACAAAAAGTTAAATTATGGAGTAATTGTTTCGTAAGCGGACCCATGGAGATGATGATGGCTCGTGGAGACGTTCAATCTAAGAGGGGGGGGGGGGTTGACTCATCTTAAACTGGCTCACGAACTTATCTCATAAACAAAAACGTTCTGCCGACTCATCAAATTTAACGCGGACCCATAATAGTATTAAACGTACCCCCTACCCCTTCCCCCCAAAAGGGCCTACTTTCTTCAAGCGGGTAGATTGTCTGAATGTAGAGAAAAAATGAACTTATTGTTGTTTATAAAAATATGCTTGTTTGTTTTCAGATTATTTCTAAGGCCAACGATATTTTTATATTTGCTATACAGTATGGTTATTACATAATCTTAAACATTTATGCCAGGAGAATGCACCTTCACCATATAATAGTAAAAGTGCGGCGTTTTCCGTCATTTTCCGCTTATTCTTAGTACTGTGCAAAAATACTACTTGACTGATAGCTTGAAATACTGTCTAGCAATCGATCGTCTGATTAACGTTCTTTAAGGGATGACTATTCTTTTTAAATTTCTATATTATCGAAAGCGTACAGTAGTTGAAGATGGTATGAAATTTACCTGGCGAATCCGCGTAGCTCTTTTCCATTAGCATGTCTAGTCCTTCCGGTAGAGGCATTTGTTTGAATTATTAAATTATTTAACCACTTAATTCTCCTTTAAAACTGACAATTAAAGAAAGTGATTACATAAATATATGCACGTATTTTTTCTAAAATTGATCAATCAATTTAACAAAATATTTAAGATTTAAGATAATAAGAAGAGTTATTTGAATATTATACTTAACTTATTATTCCTGTTGTTATTTATCAACTCGTACTTACCCGGTCTCAAAAACGGATATTTCTTGTTGAAAGAGGGTGACTCCATTCAAAAGACAATTGCATTTGTTTAAGACAATCACTTATTCTAAAATCCATTTAAAAGTACACAATATGTAATGTTTCACGAAAAAATGTGCGTAAACAAACGTTGGCACCTTGCAAAGTTTTATGTTAAATCAGAATTATTTCTCATCATTGTTTTTTTTCGTCTTGTTTCACAGTTATTTTACAGCCCGTATAAAATGTCTGTGGAAAACCCGATGATACATATTGTACTACAGCGCGATATGGATTTAAGTCACGTGACGATATTATGTAATAGTTTAATACTATTATGAAAAAATAAACGTTTAATGACCTACTTTTCGTTGGCAAACGTCATGTATATCCAGATAGACGTTACGTTAAAAATGAATGGTTAAATTGACGCTATTGAGAATAGCTTATGAGAAATTGAATGTCAGAATTTTCCTTATTTAGGCATTCTTATTGAACGAAAAAGATGAGATTTTGTTGCGCTAAAGATTAGACTATTAAAAATATTTTAAAAAGATATTGAATACCTCTCTCAATGGTAAAGCAAGGTATATTTAGATCATTTAGTCGTAATAACAACTCAAGTGGAAAGAAAGTAGTTCCAGTAAAAAAAAGCAGCCCATAAAACGGGCTGTGGGGCAAAAGGTGTGTAGAAAACCTGATCTATGACCTAATTAAAATGTTGCGTGCAGTTTTTTGTGGTATATTTTATTTTATTTAGGATACCTTACATGTTAATTTAAATACCACTAAGATCGTAAATATCATTTAAGATTACATTCACATATCTGAATTAAATTTAACTCTTAGATAGGAATGACTTGACTGTATATTAGACTACACATAAATGTAAATATTCAAACAAAAATAGTGTCATTTATTGCAATGCAGTGGTATTTATCATTTCTTTCGAAAATTACTTTTGTTCGGGTTGTAGTTGTTTAAAAAAATACAGCGGCTCGATGTTGACAGTATGTTTTGTTAAAACATAAGTCATTCAACACAAATATAATACTATCAACCAATTCCCGATTTTATCTTGATTTGTAGCAATTTGTCAAATGGTTGGGTTTTTTTTATAACACACAAATTTGCCAATGCCGTTTTAACGCATTAGTTTAATTACAGGGTTGTAGAGTAAATGGCACATACAAATAGTAAAAAAAAACACAATGCAATTTAAATGGGCTTCTTATTTCCGCCGCGGAAGTAGCGCAATTAGCCTGAAAAAAGTAGACCGTTAAATTCATACGCCCTTTACCTCGATCTTCTTTGATGTTAGACGTTTTTGCAGCTTCAACTAAGGTAAAATCAATACGCACTTTCAAGTTTTCTTTACCAACAAAGAGCAATGTAAAACACCATTATCAAGACGTATCCTGAAAGGAATTTTTCAGCAGGTACCTCAAACTATCATAACGTATATAATGACAATAAACGAAAGAAATCAGCATGTTTAACGGTGCGAGAGGGCATTCTTGTATACTGGGTTGTGTACTGTTAACATGTCTTTTTTTCTTTTCTGTTAGTTCTTTTTTGTATTTGTCACTTTTGTTGAACTTTCACAATTGTGCATAATTATGTGATTTTTCTTCCTGTCCAAATCTAATGCATATTACATGGCTGATGAATGAATAAAATCTTGAGTATCTTGAATCTTAAAATATGCAAAAATAATAAATCACTGAAGAAAATATAAAAAATGTACTGATGAAAATATAAAATTGCTAACAGGACTTATCCCGTACGTTATATAATGTTTCTTTAACAAGGTCCAGATTCCAACCGAGCGTTTTGTTGCCAACGAATCAAACTTGTGCTTGATTGACACTTTAAAGAAATACATAACTATTTATCTCGCTGTTTATTGACACAATTTGCTGTTTTTGATAACCATTTTACAAAGTGAAGGGAAGTAATTATGGACTGACGGGAAAGAAATAAGTTATCCCCCTTGATAATCATAGGAAAAACATAAGTGCTATAATTACATGTATAATAAAATCTTTATTGCAATTTCAATTTGTACAGAATTATACACAATTTCTATGAACACAAACAAAAAATGTTAATTTTCTAGAAAGAAATTTAATATATTGCACATTTCCCAGCTCAACATAGAGTTATATAGCTTTAAACCAGAATGTTGAAGTTTGTGTTAAAACTAATAAACTTAATTTTTTTTTAATTTATGAAAAAAAAAAAATTAAATAATAAGAAAAAGGAACAATGCATCAAAGTATTGATTTCATTAGGGAAAACGGTGTCGTAAAAGCATGCAAAAACATCAGGTATTGTTAGAACAGAAGGATGAAGGGAACTTATGCCTTGTGGTATGTACACAAATAATAATAATTAAAAATATTTACAAATAAAATAATAAAAAAATAATCATTTTTCGACTTTTCCTTGTTCTTCAGTTATTGCCA